AAGTTTATTTGAATAAAATGAATAATGAATAAGACGAATAAACAAATAATTCAATCAATAAGATCTAGAGCCAATTAACAATGAAAACAACAAGATATAAACAGGTAATGGTTTCATTAAAAAAAAATACATGTAACGAACGTTTAATGATTTTGGTATTGAGGCTGTGGATTAGGGTTCAACAATTTCCTAAAAGAGGAGAATTTAAAGGTTAATCTGGTTTTTATTTATTATTGAACACAAACAATTCACAATTGACAAATAAGAAACTGATCATCACATCATTAGAAAAAATTAGTAGTTAGTTCTTTTTTTATTTCTTTCTCGTTCATTAAATTAATTTTTCCTTGATAAAATTAAAAATAACAACAAGTCAAGATGCCTATCGATCCCTATATGAAAAATCCTCACAAAAGTGAGGGTTGTTGTCAGGAAATTACAAGACATAGAGGATGGGGTTACCCTGATATTTGTCGTGTTAAAGGCTCTGTAAGTTTAAAAAATTAAAATTTAAAATTTCATAATTAATTAATTTAATTAAAATTTTTTTAAATTTAGGTGCTCCCAAGCTGTTTTCCGATCATATTCTTTTCGACAGTTATCGCCACAATTGTGGCCGTTCTTTACGAAGTTTTGGATATAGATGTGACTTTACCGGGCAGCATAAGTAAGCATTTGGCCAATTATCTTTTCTTTATTGCTCTCAATCTGAAACCTCTTTGCATGATTTATAAAATAAATAAATAATTTTTTCATTAAACAATTTCCAATAGTTGGTTCTGTTTCCGTGGTGGTTGGTCTTTTGTTGGCTTTTCGTACAAATAATGCGTACGATCGTTATTACGAGGGACGAAAATTATTTACTAATATGTGGTTGGTATATATTTATATATGCTTATATGTTGTTTTTCTCAAAATTATTTTTTCATCATCAATGACAAGAAAATATCAAATCACGTGGACAACAAAAGAAATTTTACTAAATATTATTTTCGTTCCAGCACACATATTAGAAATGCTACCCGTATACTTTGGGTTGGTGTAGTAGAAAGAAACGATAATGGTCAAGATCATAAAGAAAAAGTAAAAAACATAAAATTATTATTGGCGTTTGCAGTTGCTACTAAGCATCACCTTCGATTGGAATTTGGCACAGAATGGTTTGATTTACAAGATCTTCTCCCCGAAGGATTCCAATTTACATTTTTTGATGGAAACGCTGGACAAGAAAATACTGATGTTTCAGAAGGTGATCCCGAAAATCCAAACAGACCAGAAAATGCAAACAGCTCTGTCTCAACTCTTAATCGTTCACATCGTTCGCTTCTAACCAGAATTCCACCAACTGTCTATGCTAGTCTTCGTAATTCAATTTCTGCCAGCGAGAGCACTTTGTGGTTTGGTGATGATTGGGGTGAAGATGTCGATGCAAGCATGAGTCTTCCACTTGAAATCATTTTCCATATAAATTTATATATTGATGCCAAAATACAAGAAGGAACAATAGATGGTAATCGCTTTGGAACTGTTTCTGGAAGCTTAAATTCCTTGGTTGATATTTTAGGAAGTTTGGAAAGAATTAGCAATACACCAATTCCTTTTGCATACAACGTTCATCTGTAAGTAACAATTTCTTTGTCTTGAAACGGTTTTGTAATTTTCTTTATAACACTTTCTTAAAAGAAAATTATATTATATCATATGTATAGTAAACAGGCTGTAACTATATATGTGTGGGTTCTTCCATTTACAATGGTCAGTACTCTCGGATGGTTAGTAATTCCAGTTGTTATGGTTATCGCCTTTATACTTTTCGGTGTTGAAACAATTGGTAAATATTATAAAAAAATTCTTTATATTTGAAAATTTTATTTTCTTATTGATTGACTGATGAATTGATCTAATTATTTGTTATGTAGGAGCTGAAATTGAGAATCCATTCGGTATATATTTATAACATTTATGATTATTAATTATAAATAAAAAGATATTTAAATTTATAAACATTTTTTTTTATTTTAATTAAATAGGTTATGATAAGAATGATTTACCATTGGACGAGTATTGCAAGGTTAGTAATAGTATCCAATTAATTGACGATATCATCATGACCGAGTTATCATTATTTAATAATAATCATTATTGTTATACAATTTTTTAAGGACTTGGAAGCTGAAGTCAAATATTTGCAAAGACATCTTCCATCTAAAAAACTTCAGACTCTACAGTTAACAACATAAACATAAAAATTTATTTGTCAAAATTCATCATCCATCATTGTTGATCAGACATGATAATTATTATTCCTTATTTATGTATAAAAAAAATTTAAATAAAAATATTTAAAGAAAAAAATTTGCATTTTTTTTTTGAATTAGGTTTTAAAATCGCGATTTTTTTTTAAATAAAGAAATTTAAACATGCTTTTGAAAGTTGCACAAAATAAATTTATTTTTTTTTATCGCGTTGCTTCCAAATTTATTAAATTTATTAAATAAATAACAAGACAGAAAGTATTTTTATTTAAAATAACAATAATATCTTTTTCACTTTAATAATAATAATATCTTTTTCACTTAACAATAATATCTTTCAGTTTAATAAATAATCTTTCGCTTTAATAAATAATAATAATTACACAACAATAAAATGTTTGAAGCACTTTTAAGTCAAGGTTTAATGCTTAAAAAATTATTAGAAGCTATCAAAGAACTTGTTACAGATGCAAATTTTGATTGTAGTGAGACGGGTATTGCACTTCAAGCCATGGATAACTCACACGTAGCACTAGTATCACTTTTATTAAGTAACGAAATATTTTCTACATATCGATGTGATAGAGGTTTTTCTTTGGGTGTAAATTTAACTTCTCTTAACAAGTTATTGAGGTGTGCCGGAAATGATGATACTATCACATTAAAAGCCGATGACAATTCTCCAGAGACTTTAGCCATGGCATTTTCAGCTCCAAGTAAGCAAATATTTTATTTGCTAACTTTCAGAAAATAAATTAATTAATAAATTAATTATTTATTTATTTTATAAGCAAATGATAAACTTAGTGAATTTGAATTGAAATTAATGGACATTGATCAAGAGCATTTAAGTATTCCAGAAACAGTATATGATGCAATAGTAAGTTTACCGTCTGCCGAGTTTCAAAGAGTATGTCGTGATATGATGGTTATTGGCGAAACTGGTAATTTATATAACATTGTCGTTTTTTGAAATATATTGCTATTATTATTATTATAGTTAATTAATATCAGATTATTTTTCTTAAATAAAAAAAAAAAAAGTAAGAATTGAAATTGACGGTGATGAGATTAGATTCATTACAGAAGGTGAACTTGGTAATGGCAACATAAAATTGAAACCAACTTCCCCCATGGATAAAGTAATTTATTTATTTTTTAAAAATTATTTTTTAAAATATTATATTTACTATATTTATTAATATGTATAAATATTTTATTTGTTAGCCTGAAGAAAAGATAATTGGCCAAATGCTTACTTATGCTGCCCGGTAAAGTCACATCTATATCCAAAACTTCGTAAAGAACGGCCACAATTGTGGCGATAACTGTCGAAAAGAATATGATCGGAAAACAGCTTGGGAGCACCTAAATTTAAAAAAATTTTAATTAAATTAATTAATTATGAAATTTTAAATTTTAATTTTTTAAACTTACAGAGCCTTTAACACGACAAATATCAGGGTAACCCCATCCTCTAAGTCTTGTAATTTCCTGACAACAACCCTCACTTTTGTGAGGATTTTTCATATAGGGATCGATAGGCATCTTGACTTGTTGTTATTTTTAATTTTATCAAGGAAAAATTAATTTAATGAACGAGAAAGAAATAAAAAAAGAACTAACTACTAATTTTTTCTAATGATGTGATGATCAGTTTCTTATTTGTCAATTGTGAATTGTTTGTGTTCAATAATAAATAAAAACCAGATTAACCTTTAAATTCTCCTCTTTTAGGAAATTGTTGAACCCTAATCCACAGCCTCAATACCAAAATCATTAAACGTTCGTTACATGTATTTTTTTTTAATGAAACCATTACCTGTTTATATCTTGTTGTTATCATTGTTAATTGGCTCTAGATCTGATTGATTGAATTATTTGTTTTTCTTTTTTTTTTTTTTTAATAATAAAAAAACGCCATAGTGTTATAAATAATAGTTATTAGGGTTTGCAAGTCATGAGACATCACACATCGGTTAAATCGATCAAGAAGTTTATTTAAAAATTCTACGAAACAAATAAATAATAAAAATAATATACATAACATTATATAATATTACAATAAATGCTAATATTAAAAAAAAAAATCAATCATCTTTTTTCAAGTTTTTAATTTCGTTCATTAAATTATGCATTTGAATCAGTAATTGTTCATTTTTTTGATTTAATTTATTTTCAATTTCTTTAAGATCACTTTTAAGATCGTTAGTATTAGTAAAATCTTTTTTAATTTCGAATTTCGAATTGAAATCTGGTTTATGCACATCTAACATTGTTCTAAGTTCTTCGGAGATAAACGGAAGAAGTTTTGGATCTTCATTACTATTACTATGATCAATTTCGCCAATTTTTCTTCGAAGATCGTCAACTGGCACATAATAGGTTCTGGGATAATGAAAATAAATGAATAAATGAATCATGAATAATAAATAAATCGTAAATAATAAACAAATTATAATTATATATTTATATTTACAATATATCAGGGAAAAGATTTCTCCAACGACGTTGATTTGGAAGTAAATAGAATAGCTCAATCTCTGTTATAATTTTTAGTTGTTCAGCATAGAATCCTTCTTGTGAATTAGTTTTTTCAATAGCTTTACTGAGCAAACCAATGAACAAATTCATTAGATACAACACAACTATGAATGAAAATGTGACAAACAATATTGCTAGATATGCATCATCTTGCATTGACCAAGATTTAAACGCTCCGTTGTTATCCCCTAATGGATTAAAAAAATCAATTGAAAAAATTAAATAAAAATTTTATGGTTAAATCCAATCTAAATCGAATCTTAAAATTACCTGCAAGAAAACTATACAGTGCCAGCACCGAAGAAAAGTATTGTGTGAACATGTTTGTGTTTCCATCAGGTTGTTGAATAATAATTGAATCTTGATTATGTGAATTATTGTTTGTAAAATATGTAAAGTATTTATTGACAAGATTCCAAGGGTTGTTGGGATCATTATTGATAGTGAGTGTGTCTGTTGTAAAAACTTGGCTTGGTTTCAATAATAAATGAAATGCATGCGCAAAGGATAAAATTATCAGAAATAATATCATTAAAAATGAAAAGATTTTTCTAGCCACTCCTAATATTATAACAAAACATATTCCAAAGAATTTGACTACTCTTATAAACAACAAAAATTTTAAATTTAATAACAAGTTAGCAAATGAAATCAACTGAATAGGTGGTGGTGTATCATAAAATAACCATAGAGTTGAAGCAATAATTGGCAAGGAATAAACACAGATGTCTGTTAATATAATGAAAAAAGCATTATTATTATTATTATTAAATTTTATCACGATAGATTGATTAATTGTATTAATAAAAAATAAAATTGTCATACCAAAGTAACTCCAGAAACTTTTAAGATATCTTGTTGGTTTCCAAATGAATTTTCTGGCTTCAAAATAAAGATGAATTAATCCAAAGAAAATTGTTCTCATTAACAAGGACTTTCTTTCAGTATATTCTTCTGGTTCAGCATTGACGGCATAATTAAAATATGTATAATATAATCTAAATAAAGTCACAATCAAAATATATGATGGTATTCCAAAACTTATCCATTTGTGATGCATAATCATTTGACCGTTCCAATGATTGTACAATCCCAACGGGTTTAATTCAACAAAAACACTACTTGCTGGCTTGTATAACAATTCTTTCCAGAACGAATATTCATTGTTGTAAGTAAGGAGTCCAGGATATGGAACTGTAAATTTCACACAAGGTTTAGGTTTCTTAAAACAACTATTAAAAAAATCATTACATTTTTTTATTTTTCTAAAAAATTTCCCGCCGTAATTAAAAAAGCATTTATTAATTAATATTTCAAAAGCCTTGGGATCATAACTGTATTTCTTTGGTTGAATAAAATTGTCGACCGAAAATAATACCATTGAAGTCTGGTTAAAAAACCTTGATATTAAATTAGGATGATTTTTTTCTAGACTTGGTAATTCTGATACAACTATTTCTAATAAAGACATATTTGATAAAATGTCTTTTTTAAAGTGATCAAGAAAAGAGTCCAATACTTTCTCTACAAGAATAGCATCATGATAACGTGATACTAGATTTAAAATCATCTTTCCAAATTTGTTGAGATAATAATAGTCATTGATCATATATAAAACCATTTCTTTAAGAGGATTTCTAGCAATTTGATGCATATCAACGTATGTGGTATTGGTATCAAGAAAATCATCCCAAGTGCCAAATAAGTAAACCTCAATACAATTATTATCTATGGCTGATTTAATTGTTGTTAATATTGTATAATTGTGTAATTTGCCATCATGACGATTTATTTTAAAATACTTTGTGAATATTTTAGAGTTTTGATTATCAAATGACAAAATATGTATAAATTGACTTGTTAATAAGATCAAATCATCGTTATATAATAATTTGCAATTTAAAAATTTTTGATTACTCATAATACCATATTCGTCAATTATTGATGGATCATTAACACGTGTTCCATTATTAATTTTTTGAACTATTATATTAATATTTTCAAAATCATTATCATACTCTATTGACCAACTGATTGATTTTCCAGACTCTATGATAAATTCCAGAGGTTCATGATTCAAAACTCGTTTATACATTTCGTATATTTCATATAATGCATGTTTTATATAATTAAAATCTATCATTTGTTGAACATCTATCCTTTTTTCACTAAAAATTTCTTTGATGTAAAATTGGCCTCCAACAAATATTGCTGCTTTTCCGTGTGGTAAAATTGGTCCAAATAAAATATCTTTATTATTCGAGTCGTTTATAGTATCATCGCAAAGGTATTCTGTGATATCCATATAATTATCTGGATTATGAGGATCCGTTAATCTACAATCAAGACTTTTTGTGATTTTATGATAAGTTATTACCAACAAATATTCCAGTTGATCTTTTGTATAAACGAAACCACTTTTTTTCATTTCGGTGTTTTTTCCCAATTCAACTACAATTAAAAAAAGTAAATATGTATTAACACCTACCTGTTAAATATTTATAAATAAAATATAATTGTCATTATGACACTTACTTGAAGAAACCAAAATATTACGTTTTAATGAATAAATTATTATTTTTGCATTATATTTATAATACAGCGCCATCATCGTTTTGTCTTTATTAAATATTATATCAGTGGATTTTATAAATAGTAAATAATAATTATATTGATGCAACATTTTTCCAGAATTCCATCGAGATGGTAATAATTTGTCATCATCATAACCAATTAGAACATTGCCGGAATTTATAAACCATTCTGGATGATGATCAATATTACTATCATTATAAACATAATATGTTTTTTTATAAACTAGTTTATTGTTTGCATTAATATTATCATCACTCGTATATGAAAAAACGAATAATTTGCACATGTGATCATCACGCCATGTCATTAATAAATCGTTATTTGTAATAAAATACCCATCATCGAAACTGTTACAAATTTTGTCTTTAACTGTAAATTCATTGTATTTTTCTCTCGAAAGATCAAGATGTTCTAAAAAATCAATTATAAAAGATATAAATATTTTATGCTTGTAATATATTAATCAAGTAGTTGATGAATGATTGCTTACTATAAAATCCTTTGTTATCATTTGTACTGGATAATACTCGATCCAATAAAATTATGCACATGTCGTCGGAAACACCTTTAATGGTTGTCTTTGAGGTTTGAGCAATTGATTCATTTTTGGAATATTTAAAGTACTTATCCTGTCGGATAATTCCATCGACAAGATTTATTGTCCATCCAACAATGGATTCATCTTGTTCGCTATGAGTAACGAAAAAGTTGCCACCATGGCTGCATTTTATTTCATCGATACGACATCCTTTATGTGGATTAGTTGTTATTATATTTTGTTGCTCAAAAACAGCATCGTCTTTTTTCGAATACTCTATTTTCTCGCCAGTTACTACTTCTATAAGTACACTATTATTATTATTATTATTATTATTATTATTATCCTCTTCCATTATTATTATTGAAACCAAAGAATTTTTTATGATAAAAAAAAAAATGAAAAATTAATGAGAAATTAACGATAAAATTCCTATATATTTATATAAATTTGATTTAAAAATTAATAATAATAAATCTGCTTTTGGACGTAGTTGCTAATTTTGCAGTCGAACTCCTAATTAGTATTAGTACGGAAATCATTTTCCGTAATTCAATTTATATTAATCGATTTAGATGGATCCCAGATGACATTGTTAAAAAAAAAATTTGTGATTTTTAATAATTTAAGAAATTTCAAAAGAAAGTTCAAAATTTGATTTGGTGTGAGGCACTTGATCATGACATACGTATTTTAAATATATAATAATTTTCTAAATTAGTATTATTAGTAAAATGTCGATCGATTTAAAAATACACACACTAAACTTTTTTAGGAATATATATTTATGTTTCGCTCGGGTTAGCGTAATTATGTCACAGAACAGACAAACAAAAAAAGCACAAGATGTTATTTTACTAATATATCCAACACAATAATATTACTTAGTGCAAGTCACTTAGTCGCTGAACTTATTGGCTGTGTAGATCCTATATCCTCTCCAAAAATGGAATGTATGACCAAAAAAACAAATCATAGAATTAAAGCTAAGACCTTTCTATGATTTCATTTTGTTGGTATGACACGTTACCATGGAGGAGTGACACATCAAAGTTCTCAAAGTTTCACGAGTTTATTA